CTTCTTCTTCTTCTTCTTATTCTTCTTCTTCTTATTCTTCAACAAAAACAACAACAGCGCCAACTCTTTGATAGCTAATAAAAAATAAAAATTTATATTTTTCTACTTTTTTTTTTTTGGTATACAACAAATTCAGCTTTTTTACACCGTACATTTTTTTTGATCAACTGCTTTTTTTTTTTTGATTTTATATCAGAAAGAAGTTAAATTTTATTTATTTATTTAGCAATCAAATAATTTTTATTTATCCAGCTCTGACTGTACAGCAACTATAATTTTTTAATGATTTTTACAAAATAGAAAAAAATTTTTTTCTATTTTTTTTACCGACTTTTTTTTCTGTTTCTTAATCTTTTTCTTAAATCAATAAAATAGAAGAAAAAAATTGAAAGCTACTGGTGAACATAACTGGCTTATCTTCAATTTTTTCATCAATTTTTTTTTCTTCTTCTTATTATTTATATTTGGTTTTGTTTTATATGTTTTCACTCGCTTTGGCTTGGCTTGGCTTGGCTTGGCTTGGCTTGCCTTGCCTTGCCTTGCTTTGCCTTGCTTTGGCTTGCCATGTTTTGTTTCACGCCTTACCTAATCCTCTTAACACAGAGAAATTTGCCTTTTTAACAATTTACATCTGTTGGCCTAAGCAAATCCACTGTATCCGTTGCAAATCGTCGAATAAATAGATGGGATACATTGTCACCAATATACGGTGTATTCAATTTATCTATTGATCTATACATCTCTGCCTGTCAATGTTTATGCATAGTCAACTGAAAATTTCTTCCTTATTTTTTTTGGGGCCACTGTGCGATACAGATGGATCAGAGATTGAGCTGTTGATCACCACAAAACAATTTAGTATCTTCAAACTTTCAGCGATTATCCTTAGCCGTTTAAGAAATGCAAAATAATAAATGGAATTAACTAATCTTACAGAAATTAGGAAAAAAATGGAGTGATGAACACAAAAAAAGACTTAGTAAAGCTCCTAGTTAGTTTTTTTTTTTTTGTCAAATTTTTGACTAAAATATAAAGCGGTTAAAAACAGTAAAATTTTTTTGATAAAAAATATGCTGCATGTATTTTTTTTTATTGAAAATTTATACATTTTTCTTTTTTTAGTTAGTTCTTTTTTTTCTTTTTTACAGTAATAAATACACCATCTTTCTACCGTTTTTTTTTTGTTATCGACTGTTGTTCAAATTATTGCTGACCATTAGATGTTTAAGAAAAAAAAGAAACATACGTATATCAATTAATAATAATAAAGCTTTAAAATAAGTGCAAAAATAAAATTTTTTTTTTTTTTTTTTACAATGTGTGTTTACGGTAGATAAAAAATTCAAGAAAAAAAGAAGGAACATTTTTGGAATACAATATTACTGAAGTTAAAACTGGGTTGGGAAACATTGGAAAAAATTTAGTTAAAATAACTTTAAAAAAATTTGCATCATAAAAGGTTTACGATATCGTTTCAATTCTCTCCCTCCTTTCCTTATCCATTTTTTTTTTTCTTTGCAGTCTTTATTTGTTTTCTCATTTTGTATTCACTGTTACCAATGAATGGCAAACACAAAATGTCTAATTCAACTTTGATTTACCGTTTTGTTGTTTCTTAACTGAAAACGGTTATTTACATTCCACTCAGTTCTTCTCTAAGGTCAACTTAATATCCTCAGTTATTGAGAAGAAAGAGCAAAAAAAAGAAAAAAAAAA